AATTTATAGAGTAGGAAACAGATTCAAGCAGATTCAGTAACTTCTCCAATATCACACAACCTGGAAATCATAGCCACTGACCCTGAACCCAGGTCAAAAGGACCCCACAGCCTCTAGTCTATTGCTTCCTCCCTAAAAATAACACCATAACACTAAAGATATTTGAAGGTTTTTTTTTTTGTACTGGTCCCGATTGAACTCGGGACCTTGTGCTTGCGAGGCAGGCAACAGCACCACTGAGCTAAATCCCCAAGATATTTGAAGTTTTATATCTCTCCATCCTAACTTGAGATGACAGCTTTTATTTTTTCTCCAAATTGGGGGTCATGAGAGGTCCACCCCTTTTTTTCCCCCTTTGCCCCAACACTTGGGAAGGGGCTTCAGAGAGGTGAAAAAGCTGCCCAGGGCCTGGAAGGAGAGGGTTAGGCTGAAGCCAGGTGGCGCAGGAGCCCCTCTGAGGCTTCTGGACTCCAGGGGCTCCAGGTTGTGCTTGAGGCTGCACCCGGGAAGAGCTCTTCACCCAGCCCAGCCTGGGGGCCCACCGCCTGCAGAGGTTAGTGAGGTGACCACTGTCATCTTGATGAGCTTTACCTCCTCATCTACAAAGTGGTTCTCCCGGAAATCACAGAGATGAGGGGCCTGTGTCTGCAGAGTCCAAGGCACGAAGATGCAAAGAGCTTGGTTCAGGTTCTTCTCCAGGGCCAAGGCGGCTTCCACAGTATCCAGGGTTTTACCCCACTCATCATTAGGAGGCTTCCGCACATCCTGGAAGAAAATGCAGCAGCCACACTGCTTTTGGATCTTCAGGAGAAGTTCGGCAAGCTCAGCTTGCCAAGAAACAGCCCACAACCACCTCATGGCGGAAGTAGTAGCCCAGACAGAGGTAGGTGCGGGAAGTTTGCAGGTGCAGATTGCTCAGGCGGTTGCCGGTGGCCTCCACCTTGGTGGAGTAATTCTGGTGAACCCAATAGGTCATGGCTGGTCAGCAATCAGGAGCTATCCAGGAGCGGGTCCTGGAAGCAGAAGATGGGTGAGAAGATGCTCCCAAAGCCTGTGACTGGAAGGTGGACAAAAGTCGAAAGATGAAAGAGACAGAGTTCCTGGGTCTACTCCATCCAAACACTGTTGAAACAAGAGTCAGATCCTGGGGACCTCTGGATGCACCACTCAAGGTCCCTCTTTTTGTAAAGAGTCTTTGTTCCAGATGCACCCTTCCAGCCACCGTTGGAGTGGCCAGATCGGCGCATGCATCTCCCAACTTCTGGCAAGTGCGAGCTGAAGGTCTTGCCTCAGGCCTGCACATGGGACCTCAGCCCCTGGCCTGCCTTGGACCATGTGACTTAGAACACACAGGAGGACTGGGGATTTAGCTCAGTACCTGCCTCACATGCACAAGGTCCTGAGTTCAATCCCCGGTGCGCGAACACACACACACACACACACACACACACACACACACACACACACACAGAACACACAGGAAGTTGCTTCCTACCAAGCAGTGTATCCTGGAAGCGGGGTTCAGTGACACCCCTCCTCCCCATCCCTAGCACAGCTTCCCACCTATGGGGCAGGAGCCAATGGATAAATGCCACCCTTTTCCCATGCGCACCAGGTGTGGGGGGCTCCTGAGATGCTTTTCATAGGGCTTCTCAGACATTCCTACCAATCAACCTGCCATGTATGTGGCCACCCCGTAACACATTCTCAGCACCTCTGCCTCCATCCCTGCTTCAGTCCCAACTCTCAGCTGTGCTCCCTCGACCCACACCCCCTCTAATGTATTCTTACACAAACTTTTGCCTCAAGCTCTGCCCTAGACAGCCCTGACCAAAACAGATTCAAACATTTTTTTTTTTGTCTAAGCATGCACACAAATCTTCACCATCCTTGTCTTCTGAATTGAATAAGGCTGAATAGCCACACGCAAATGGCAAAGGTCATTCACGATGCTACTCTCCGTTAAGGTACAAAAATAATCATTTCAAGGTTTAAAAGAAAAAAAAACCAAAAAACCTCAGCCTCCCTCTGTATTTAGGCGAACGTATATGTCATGAAGTGGCCGGGTTAGCCTTCCTACTTCTGCTCATTAAGGGCTGCCGTGTCCTTGTGGGGTTCAGAGATGCAGGGTTGGGCTGCAGCCCTGGGCTGTGCTCCTGACCGCCTATCCCTGGAGTTAGAATAGTGCTCCAGGGTGATTTGGGAAAGCGCAAGACTGGATTTGCTGTGCTGGAGCAGAGGCAGGAGGACAGGGGTTGTGAGGAGGGGACCTTGTGGTTGGAAGGCAGAAAGGAGGTGGTGGGTGTGTTGATCACCTTTCCATTACTGTAACAAATAACTGAGATGAGGCAATTTACTAAGAGAAAATGTTTCTTTTGGCTCACAGTTTGGGAGGTTATGGCCCACGTGCAATTGGTTCCGTGGCCGTGGGCCTGTGGTGCGGGAGCACATATCTGCTCAGCTCATGGCTGGAGGTCCTTCCTCCTTGACGTTTCTTGTCTTCCAATAGGAGGTCTTGCCGTCTCTTGAAGCTTCTGCCCATCTCCCACAAGGGCCAATTTAGGGATTAAGCCTTTTAATTCACGGGCCTTTGGAGGCCACTTAAGAGCCAACCTATAGCAGCACAGACCAGGGATGTAGCTCAGCGGTAAAGCAGTTGCTTAGTACGTTTCAGGCCCCGGATTTGACCCCAGGCGCTGAAAACAAAACTATAGCAGTGTCAAGTTCATAGGCAAAGTACAGGAGCTTTGGCTGAAGGGCAAATTCATTCTCTGTTCAGAGCGCTGAGAAGGTCCCTAAGAAGGAAGGCATAGAATTACAACGGAAAGGTCAGAAAACATCAGTCTCTCTCTAGAATTCCATTGCGGCCTGGCTCCACATTAGTTAGAAGCCACTATTCCCCAGTGGACCTTGGGATGACAGAATTTTGAGAAATATGTAACGACCTCATGAGCTAACTAGCAAAGTACTGTAAATCATCAACGTTACCACTATTCACTGCTCTGATATGTCAGGAATTATTTGCATGAATGTCCACTCACATGTTGGGGCATCTGACTTCACACAGCGCTTCCTATAAATGCCCATCTCTCACGCGAGAGACCATCTGATCATTAACAGGGTTTTAATTTCATTCCCAGTCACCCCCCATTTTGGAGAGTCGTCCTACTGTGGTACCGAGCGACAGAAAGAGCTGGGCCTCAGATGGTTCTCCATAGAGGGACAAGGAAGGGGGAAACGTAGGAGTTGAGCCCACTGCTGTGGCCACATTGGACCTTGTCACCACTCAGAATTGTTTACTTATGACAATCTGGCCTCCCTATGCCCAAAGGAGCATAAAGTCTGGCTCTTCCCATCTCTCCTCTCAGCTAGCCTTTCCTTGGGTTTCCTTTCTTCTCTACCCAACAGAACCCATGACCTAGCACTTAATGGCCCTGTGGTCAGGACCCCCAGAGGGTTAGCATTTTTCCTGTTCCTGACCCTGCCAAACCCCGACTCTGAATACATCAGGTCTGGACCCATGAGCCAAGTCCCTGAGAGCCATGCCTGCTACTCCGCAGGGCTGGAGCTGCCTCAAAAGCACAGGCCTAGAGGGCTCCCCAGTATTTTCCCTCTCCACTGGCAACTCCCTCTTTCATTCCTTTCAGTGGCCTTTTTAGTCCTTCACTGTTTCCCAAAAAGCACCCTGGTTATCACTTCTCCACCCACACTAAGAGATGACTTTCCTTCCTATTTATGGGCTAAAAATCAGAAGCCAACTAGGCAGGAGTTTCCTCTACTTCCTGCCCTCCACCTATGAGTGAATCAGCACCCACATCCCTCCTTACTCACATCCTGCTTATCTCAGGGAAAGAGCAGACCCTCTTCCCACACCAGGGTAACTTCCCATCTCCCTGGACCTCTTTGGACATCGTCCCTTCTTGTGCTCTCCTCCTCGGCCTCATCATTCTATTTTTCATAGTTTTTCTCAGTCTGGTTCTGTGTTTCCAGCCCCAACCACACTGCTTCTGCCAATGACCCAATAATGTTCTGATTTCTAATTTGCAAGAAACAGTATATTCTCAGAAGACCCTTTCTGACTTGACCTTTCTGAGACATGTTGCTGTTGACCACTCTTTCCTCTAACATTCTTGTTTTTTTTGTTTGTTTGTTTTTAACTCACCTTTCTAGTTCTTACTAACTTCCATCTGGTCACCCCTAAAACATTACTGAGATTCACCAGGGATGATAAGGGCATATCCCTACCCCATAGTTCCTGGGCCTACTTCTGAGGGTGCCTGTAATGGGCTATCACCTTGTTGGTCTTTCTCTGCTCGATCCAGTGGCCCAAGTCCACCTGTGTACAGCTGTGAGTGTTTTCATCTCCACCCCGGAGCTCAGCACACCACCTGATACTTCCTGAGTGCTCACTGATTGCTGATTAATGGTTCAGCCTGTGGCAAAATGGGTCCCTAACATTTGTTAGATGTGTAAGCGGATAGTTTCTCTGTACTTCTAAACCATTTCTCCCTCCAAAAGTGCAAAGAAGTGTCAAAATGGAATTAAAAGTCTTAGAGTCATAGTAAGGATTATCTTAAAATGTATAATTGGGAATAATTCTGGTATACCAGACCCTATGAAGGCTTAAGGGACAGTTGGAGCCTTGGTTGTAAAAGAGCCCAGCTCTCTGTGTGTGTGTGTGTGTGTGTGTGTGTGTGTGTGTGTGTGTGTGTGCTAGAGTTGGGGAAGAGTCAGAGATATAACTTGGCTTGGATTTCTATGACATAAGATCCTTGTAGGTAGAAACTACTGGTTCACTTTGTATATGCTATGCACATAGAGCAGCTATTTGGAATACAAAGTAAAGAATCTTGCTTAATATCTGAATTTAGTATCATAGTCCTTGACCTTTGTCATGGGTCACTATAATAAATCACAGATCCCAAGCTCTAAAATCATTCTTTCATTTGTAAAACCAAAGTACACACACATATGCTTCTTGACTTATGATGGGATTATCATAAGCCTTTGGTCAACTGAAGATATTGTAGGTTTAAAATGCATGGAGTCCTCCTAGCCTCCTGACCATCACCGAGTGCATGGTAGAGGATCGCTGGTGTCCCCTGTGAATGCTGCAGCTTGCTGTCACTGCCATACTTTGAGAGAGCACCATACCTCATGTTGCTTGCCTGGGAAAAGATCAAAATTCAAAGTATAGTTTCCATCAAATGCCTACCGAGTTTGCACCATGACAGAGTTGAAAAAAAACATAAATGGAACTGTTGTAAGTTGGGGACTATCTGTATAGTCACATATCTTCTTCAGTTAATTTGATTTTCATGCCAGCCCAAGGAGACAGGTTTTGTTATTGTTCCCACTTTATAGATGAATAATCTGAGACTCAGAGATTTAATTATATAACTTGTTCAAATCAAGCTCAAGAAGAAAATTAGAATGACACTTACACTCCAAGCCTACACTCCCATATTATATTTCCTTTTGATGTAGATTAGCAATCTTTGTTTCTTTTACCTTTTGAAGTCACCTGCCCTGTTTCTGGGAACAAGTTTTGTTTTGCTTTGTTTTTTGGTACCAGGGATTGAACTCAGGTCCTTGTGCTTGCGAGGCAGGTGGCAGAACCACTGAGCTAAATCCCTGGTCCATTTATTTATTTATTTATTTTCAGACAGGCTCTCACTACGTAGCTCAGGCAGGTCTTGAACTCACTATGTAGCAGAGGCTGGCCTCAGACTCGTAGCAATCCTCCTGCCTCAGTCTCCCCAGACCTGGGGCTGCCTTGTTCGGCAGCAAGATGGTATTTTGGCAGGCACTAGAGCAGAGCAGTTATGAGGAGCTTGGTCCTTATTGTCACGAATGCTGGCTCTTCTTTAGCCCTGCTGGCTTTGATATGTCACCAATCCTCTGTGAGCTTCAACTTCTGTATCTATAAAAATTAGAAAATAATCACACCTACTACACAGGGTCATTGTAAGGCTTCAATGAATTAATATATGGAAAGGCCTTGACAGAGCGATAGACTTGATATCAATATGTGTATCGATCCAAGAGCGTAGTAATGTCTTAGGAGGAAGTATTACTATTATGTTATTATGTGTTCGTTTACTTTTCAAAGCTTCCAAATTGCTCACTTTGCAAAAACAACGGCTCCTTCTAAGTGTTCATGCTGGATCTTACTGCTCCTAGCTTAAGCTCATACTGTGATGTATTGAGTAACATTCACGTAGGGCTAGGAGGCTGGTGGACACCAGGAGGACCCCAAAGCCAGCTTCCAAGGATCCCTGCAAGGGTACATCCCAGGATCCCCCTGAAGTGGCAAGTCGGCGATGTTTCTGAGAGAGTTTCAAGCTCAAGCTGTGTTTGCACTGATAGCTGGCCTTGCTCTATTTCCAAGTACTTTTTTTTGGTGAGATAGGGTCTGGCTGTGTAGTTCAGGTTGGCCTGAACTCACTTTGTAGCCCAGCCTGGCCTCAAACTCTCGGTGGTCCTCCTGCCTCAGCCTCCCAGTGCTGGGATCACAGGCATGTGCCACCATGCCCAGCTAAGAATTCATTTTCTGGAGCCGGGGATTTAGTTCAGTGGTTCTACCGCCTGCCTTGCAAGCACAAGGTCCTGAGTTTGATCCCCAGTACAAAAAAAAAACTTTTTTTTTCTTTTGGGAGGGATAAGAGGGGCAAACAGTGATCCTGGGTAATGATTTCTACAACCCAGAGTCTCAGCCCTAATGAAGCTGATCAATCTGTGTGTGGAATCGTCTTCCTCGAATCCAACACCAAGAGACATTACAGTAAAAAAGGTTGCTGTGTAGAAAATGCTCCAAGAACTGGTGATCTGTGTAGAAGGGATCGAGGTGCAAGGGGTTGACCTCAAAGTCCAGGCCAGTGATTTCTGGATCACACAACTGTCTGAGACACTGGGTCAGTGAAAAGAATGTGGCCAGTATGGTGAGCAGGGCTTGAAAGCATTGGGATGCCTTCCAAAAAGGGCAGGGTTCTCTTGGGGTTAGAACTGAGCCCAGTGAGGAGGATGAGCAAGGGTGTTTTTGAATTAAGATATTTATGAACTGCAAGCTAGGTGTGGTGATGCATGCCAGTTATCTCAGCCCTTGGGAACTTGAGGCAGAAGGATCGCTGCAAGTTCAAGGGCAGCTTGAACTATACATAGTGAGACACTGTCTCAAAAAAGGAAAAGATATTTATGTATTGTCTTACTACTCAGGCAACAAGATTGGCTTCCCCAAGTTCTAGGCCTCAACCTTGCCCTCCACCAGCATTTCAAGCTTTCAGCTGTCGCTCCCAGGTCTAGAACTCTTCTACATTCAGTCTTGGCAAGACTCATGCAGGGAACTGTGAGTGTTGCAGTAGGTTCTGGCTTTGCCAGCAAGTCTCTCAACCACATGACTAATTCTGAGGATAAAAGTTTTGCTTTGTTTTGGCAGCTGAATTTGAATTTCAAGACGATGATGGACTCAAAACATGCACCTGAGTGTGCTCTTGCAGCATCCTCATTAAAATCACAGGGCGGGGCCGGGCATTTAGCTCAGTGGTTCAACTGCCTGCCTTGCAAGCTCAAGGTTCCGAGTTCCATCCCCGGTACCAAAAACAAAACAAAACAACAACAACAAAAAAACCACAGGGAAAACTCTGGGGGATCTTCATATTAAGACCCTACGGGGGGCAGGGATTTAGCTCAGTGGCATCGCGCCTGCCTCGTAAAGGCAAGATCCTGAGTTTGATCCCTGGCACCCCCCACCACAAAACTTTACGGGGCGGGCATGCGCCTAGGGTAAATGCTGTAAGTTTGAGGGCAGCCTAGAATACATAGTGCGTTCAAGGCCAGACTGAACTACATAGCTAGACCCTGTCTCAAAAGAAACAAACAAAACACACAACCCCATAGGGTGCTCATATACTGAAGTTTGAAACCACTAAGAAGACTATGTGGACAGCAGTGTGCCAGTGTGAGGTGCCAGTCCGGCCTTTCACCTCAGGTTCACAGGTAATAACTGTTAAATGGGCACTGCCAATCCCAGAAGCTCAATCTAAGTGGAAATTCACCTCCAGAAGTTACTTTCCCTCTCTGGGCTTCAGACACTTTCCTCTCTGAAATGGGTAGTTTCACGAGCTAGAATCAGTTCAGGATTGGCTATTGTGAAGGGGGTGAGTGCTGGGAATTTGCCTTTTTAAACCAACTTTTTCAATTGGACGGAGACAGAAGTGTCAGACAAGTGAATTTGTCAACTAGACATCACCGATTCTCGGAGCCTCAGTTTCTCGGTTAGAGGCACCTGTTGCTAAGCGGCAGGAAGAGGAAATTAAGAAATGCGGAGTTTGAGAAAACGTTGTAGCCCCATTCAGAGAAGCTCTTACCTTTCCCACCTGGGACCCTTTCAGGTGACAACCCACCGTCGCCCCCGCCCCTCTCTCCAATCCCGAGGGTAGTGGCCCCTTTAACAGGCCTGACGAATCGCTTTCCCATTTCCGCGGCCTCTCTTGGCGCGAGGTAGGGGCTGGATTGGTCGGGCCTGGTGCGCGTTTTGCTCCGCCC